TCAGATTCCAGGACCGTCCCCATACCCCGTCCGGTATGGGCGCCCAAACTATAAACCTCATTATCCCGGGGATTTTGGCTCCGATTTGGCCACTGGGGAAATCAGCGTGGAAAAACGAGTCGGGGGTATGAATTTTACCTCGATCGGCGGTCGGAAATCCCTCCGGTGCGGCGGCGGGTGGCGACGGCCGGCTTCTGGTTCGTCTTCTTTGGCTAGGGCAGGTGGCTAGGGTTTGGGGTCTGGTGTGGGGGTCTTATTTATACCCTTTTGCCTTTTGATCTCAGCCGTCCATTTTGATTTAATCTGGGCCATCTGTTTTTTATTAAATCTGGGTCGTCCGTGCGATTAAATCTGGGCCGTCCGTGCGCGCGATTGATCTGGACCGTCTGATCGCGCGCACGCGGATTGCCAACGTGGCCCGTCCCCGGTCGACGTGGTTTTTGCCACGTGGCAGGTCCTGGTTGGCCAGGACTGCTGACATGGCTGCTGACGTGGCGCGCGCCCTTTTTTTTTAATTTCCCCGGGCGCTACACTTTTACTGATCGGGATCTGAATCTTGATCTTTTTAATCTGAAATGGTTAATGAAAGGGCAAGCTATAGTAGCCCAGTAAGAATGTCATACTAATAACAGATACAGAAAATTGAGAATTAGTAAAAATCATAAAATAACTAATTGAACACTTAATTTGAGTAAATTTATTTAATGTAAAAAAGACCGTTGATTCTGTACTTACTGTAATGAGTTTTTCAAAAATAACTTATGAAGACTCATATTCATACAACTTTTTATTTTCACGCGTAAGATAACAAGAAACAATAACTTTCTTTTCTTACATGCTTACTAGTACTCCTGGGGGTCTATAAAGATATCTCCCTACTCGTGAACCCAATATCCAATTTTAAACATTAACTGCCTATCTTTATAATTTATCCAGTAATGGGCACCAAATATTATATCGCCTCAATACCCCGTCCGATATGAGAGTGAACCATATCTCTCAAACTTTTTCGGTAATGAACTTCCTAGCCCCATTTAGCCCTGTTCGACTTATGTAACGTTCACGGTAGGATTTCCTATGTACCGGATCTATCAACTCTTTCCCTGGGTACCCAGTAATTCTTTCACCTAAAGATTCTCATCAACAAACAACCAACTATGCATACCAATAACTCATATTATATTTATAGATCAATTAAATTATATTAATGTTGATGGTATATAACCAAATAAACTAGATAAATCGATAAGGCTATAAAAAATATAAATTAAAAACATGCACTATATACTACTAAGTAAATTGAGCAGTACAATAAAATAAATAGGAAATCAGAACAATCGTGAAATAACTAGTTCTAACTACACCAGTGACCTGTAATTATTTTTAAAATTTTTTAATTTTTGTATAAAAATACAAAATTATGCATTGTGAAGCTTCAATTTACTATAACAAAGAATAAGGTGAAGGATTCTTACTTAGATCGGTGTTTTGAGATGTCGAAATATCTACTACGCCTCATAATGGGTACTGCGTTTCCTAAATATTTTATGTGAAATTCAAAACACTCGTCACATACCTAAAAATATCTTAAAAATCTAAAATCGGTGTCCAAAACTCATTCCGACCAATTATGGGTTTCCGGCACGGCACTGTCGCTGTGCTCTAGCGCTGACTCTGCTGTCCACGACAGCAGTTCACCTCAGCCTAGCTAGTTTTGGCTGAGTTTGACCGGTTTTGGTCGTATCTCTGTAGAAAAACATATCAGGGGCCTCGGTTGGCCGAAAAATCATAAAAAAATCAAACCTACCAATCAGGGGGACCTCTAGTGCGGTGGCTCTGTCGGTCCTCCTTTGCGGTTGAGGTTTTTTTTTTGGGTACCCTGTACAGAAAAGAACGGTGAGCACAATAATCGAGAAATAATGTGAAATGAGAATCGAAAAAGGGCTCATCGGAAGGATTTTGGGATTTTAGCCGCGGCTGTTCTACCGAGCTTTACCCCTTGATTTTCGGCTCACTTGTCGTCCTTCTTACTCTGATGTGGCCATATGGGTACTCAAAATTGAATTTCGACTGGGTATGAGAAATTTTTACCTTTGTTAATGGCGGTGGCGGTCGGCCTCCTTCTCCGGCGTCTGATTCTTCTTCTCCAGTGGGTGCTAGCGGATAGGATTTAGGTTCCCGTGTGATGCGAAGTATTTATAAGCATCCTGCATTGATCTGGATCATCCATCGCAATCGATCTCGTCCGTCCAATCGCACCTAAGAAGAAAACGAATCTGAATCGTTCATTGCGATTAATTTTGACCGTCCGATCACGCCTAAGGAGAAAACGAATCTGGACCATCCACGTGTGCGAGATTGATCCTGAGCCGTCTAATCTCGGGGCATGCGGATCACCAACATGGCCTCCCATGTGGCACCGATGTCAGCACGTCTTGCCACACAGCACACTCCGGTTCATCAAGGGTGCTGACTGGGCAATCTTATATGGTTGAACTTTTTGTATTTATACTTTGACCTATTATTTCTAATTTTTCTTTTAAAAACACTTCCAGAACTCAAAATTTCACCCATTTTTCTCAAAATTATTTTCAATCTCGTTCCTCATTTATTTTTTTCTCAAAGTTTTACTTAGATAAAAATAAAATAAATTAATCAATTATTTTAAATTAATAATTAAAGAATAACAAATTTATCTCGGATCATTTTTCGAGCTTGGATATTACAAAAACACCTATTTTGGCCTTTTGAGGTACTTTTGGATACATGACACATATTTTTAATTTTTGCAAGAAAAATTCAGAAAATCTGGGAACCACTAGGAAGTGTTGTGAAACATATGGTATTTCGAACACTGATCCGGGGTAAGAATCTCTCACATTTTTTTCTGTTATGGTAAATTGAATCTTAATAATCAATAATATTGTGAGTAAAAATTTAAAAAATTCTTAAATTAATTATAGGTCACTAGTGGGGCTGGAACTGATTAGTGAATAGTTTATTTGTGTAGTACATTTATTTCTATATTGTCTTAATTACAAACTATTATATCGGGTGCTTTAATTTATTGATTTTAACTGCCTTTTCAATTATTAGTTTATGTAACCATTTCATCTCTATCTGTTGATTGATCTAAAATAAATATTCTAATCGTATTTTCTTAATTTTACGTATTGTCTATTTGTATGATTTATGATTGATTGGTCTAAATGAGATGTTGGTATGTGATGTGTGATTGGTTGATGATGTGGATCTGTAGATAAAAGACTTATCAGGTACTCTGAAAAATGGTGTATGGATTCAGTACATAGGAAAAATCCTACCGTAGATATTACCTTAGTCGAACCGGGCCGAGAATTCCCATACCATAAGGGGTTGAGAGGTATAGTTCACCTTCGTACCGGATGAGGTATTGAGGGGGTAGTATGTTTGACACTCATTACCGGACAGGGTATGGGGACGATCGGTCAATCGAGAAATTTGATATTGAGTTCACGCGTAGGGGAATATCCCTATGGACCCCTAAAGGTACTGGTAAGCAGGTAAATTTATTGTTATTGCTCATTTGAATATGAAATTAAAATATGATTCGATTTATTGACTTCATAGACCGGTTTTGAAAATTCGTAAGGTAAGTATGAAACTTGTATTTTTTATATTAAATGAATTTATTTAAGAAAACAAATGGCTCCATTTGTTGTTTTATGATTTTTTATCGATTTTCGATTTTCCGTACCGGTGTTAAGCGTGATATTCTTACTAGGAGGGTATAACTCATTTTCCTATTTAACCATTTCAGATTAAGAATACCAAAATTCATATCCTGAATAGCAGGAGAGTTGCGAATAAATGTTACCTTCCAGATCCCATTAGAGTTGCCCAGCAGAGATTAACTCCATAAGATTTTTATTTTGTTTTGTTTTAATTATTTATTCCGTTATTTTGGACTTATATAAATGGACATTATCGTAATTTTATTAGATATTCTGATTTACTGTGTAAGGAATGTAAATTTTAAATTCCAAATTGTTTTCGCTTATAGTTGATACAATTCGATATTTCTGTTTTCTTAAGTTCTAGATCTTTACAATTAATTTTATTGAATCGACATTATAAACTAGTTGATGTATAATACACTTTTTATTGATTTGATAAGTGATCTATAGATTTAATAATTAGTTTGAAAAATATAGAATAGCAAAACAATAAGTTATGTTGTTTAAAATATATTATAAATATTAATAAAAAAATATAATATTAATATTAAAAATATATAATAAAACATTATATTAATTTATATCAAAATATAATATTTATATGTCATAAAGATAAATAGAAACAAAAAAAAAAATGAAAAGACCAAATCTCGCAACTTGAACTGATTTATTTAAATTAAAGCAATTGAACGTCATGGAATTTTAATTTATATTCTTATTCGATACATTTACTAAACTGGAGTAATATAAATATTTGGTTGATAATTGGAACTGGTGTGGCCTGTCCACTTGTTTCGAATTTTATAATTATTATTTATTATGTCAAAATAAATATAGATATAGGGATAATTTTACATATATTTTAAATATAATCTAAATATTTAAATTAAAATGAAAAAATAAATAGAGGATAAGAAGATTACCTTCCCTGTCAACTGTTTCAACTCTAAACCAGAATTGGATTGTTTTGGAGAAGTGGTGGTAATAACAGGTCAACCCAATCCACATACAAGACATCAGAGAGAAAAAAAAAAAAAAAGGGAAATCAGAAAATGGGACCCACATTATTTCTTTTATTTATTTATTTAAAAATTGCACTAGAGAAATTGTAAATATAGATGTGTGTATATATATGTATTGCAATTGGACCATTTAATTTCACCTACAAAATACGAGATGGTAGTAGGTCCATTTGCATCGTAATCATTGGTCACATACAAAAATTTTACACTAAAAGATAAGGGTATAATTGTAATTTAACTTCTCCGTTCTGTGAAACATCGTAATTCCAATTTCCCATCAGGCCCATGTTTTCTCCTTTTGCTTTCTCTCTAATTTTTTCATCGTCTTGGCAGACACAGCAAATTCCATTGAGAGAAGAGAGAGAGAGAGAGAGAGAGAGAGAGAGGGTTAATAATACAGAGGTGTGTTCAGAAGAGATACACACCAAGAGAGGAGCGTCGTCGGTCGTCGTCGTCGTCGTCGTCGTTTTCTTTTTCTTCTTTCTCTTTCCTTTTCTTGTTCTTTTCGTTTGCAAAGTTTTGATTTTTTTTCTTGGTTTGGATTTCGTTTTGGGCGTTTGTTGTCGTTGCTAATTTTTCCCTCTCTTTCCTTTTTTTCTCTCCGTGTCTACAATCAATTGGGCCGAAACAAAGCTTATTTTAGGGTTTTACCCATTGAAGATCTTCTTTACAGCTCAGATTTTCTGGGGGGATTTTTATTTTAATCCCTCTCGCTTTCTCTCGTTTTCTCGCGCTTTCTCAGATCGCTTTGATCGCGTTCTCAATGTAAGTTGCTTTTCCCCTTCCCTTCTATCCCTTTCAATTCTTGTTTTCTTTTTTCTTTTTGGGCTTCCTAGCTTTTCTTCATTTCAATATCTCTTAACTTCCAATTTGCTTTTAGAGAAATTGTGACTGAATTTGGCTTCTTTACATGCAGGCTTATTCAGGGGGTTGCCTTCTGATTAGGGTTTTTTTCTTTCGCGATGTACACATTTTCGAATTGATTCATGGCGAATTTATGTAGACTATGGGAATGACAACGTTTTGAGCTTCTTGGGGGTTAAAAACGTTGATTCTTGTTCGGGCACATTGGGACTGGGGTTAGGGTTTTTGTAGATATGATCAAACAGATATTGGGCAAACTACCTCGAAAACCCTCGAAATCGTCGCACAATGATTCCAACAGCGAGGGAGGGGTCAATGCCAATTCTACTCATTCTTCACTTGGTCCCAATTCCGTTAATAGCTTGAAACCCAGTGCAGCGTCCTCCAAATCTTCCAACTCGGGTTCGCGTTTGAACAATGGGACTCTCGCCTCACATCAATCGGGCGCTAATAAGTCCAATCAAGGGAAGAAAACAGCTCCTATCTCGACCCAGGTTGGTCCCATGTTATCTTCTGCGGTATACGAGCCACTACCGAGTTTCAGGGATGTTCCAAGCTCCGAGAAGCAGAATCTGTTCATCAGGAAGTTGAATATGTGCTGCGTTGTGTTTGATTTTAGCGATCCCTCGAAGAATCTCAAAGAGAAGGACGTAAAGCGGCAAACTTTGCTTGAGCTTGTTGATTATGTTTCGTCTGTGACAACGAAATTCAACGAGGTGGCAATGCAGGAAATTACAAAGATGGTGGCAATCAATATCTTTCGAACATTTCCTTCTTCAAATCATGATATTAAGGGCCTAGACATGTATGATCCGGAGGAGGAGGAACCTACAATGGAGCCGGCTTGGCCTCATCTTCAGATTGTGTATGAACTTCTACTCAGGTTTGTGGCTTCAACGGAGACAGATGCTAAGCTTGCTAAAAGATATATTGACCATTCATTTGTCTTGAGGTTGTTAGATTTGTTTGATTCCGAGGATCAAAGAGAGAGGGAGTATCTGAAGACCATTCTCCACCGTATCTATGGAAAGTTCATGGTACACCGACCCTTTATCAGGAAAGCTATCAATAACATCTTCTATAGGTTTATTTTTGAGACTGAGAAGCACAATGGGATTGCCGAATTGCTTGAGATCCTGGGGAGTATAATTAATGGGTTTGCTTTGCCGCTGAAGGAAGAGCACAAGCTCTTTCTTGTTCGTGCCTTGATTCCTCTTCACAAGCCCAAGTGTGTCTCAATGTACCATCAACAGCTATCTTATTGCATCACTCAGTTTGTTGAGAAAGATTTCAAGCTAGCTGATACTGTCATTCGAGGTCTGTTGAAGTACTGGCCAATAACTAATAGTTCAAAGGAGGTTATGTTTCTTGGAGAGTTGGAAGAAGTTTTAGAAGCTACCCAAGCTGCAGAATTTCAACGTTGCATGGTTCCTTTGTTCCGGCAGATTGGTCGTTGTCTCAACAGCTCACATTTTCAGGTATCGATCTTCTTTTATTATTCTCTAATAACTACATTCTTCAAAATGCGGATCCTTAGCTTATTGTTTGAATAACATACATTATTTTTATTTGCTTTGTACTACTTTGCCATGAAAACTTAGCTATTAAAAAATTTGGGATTGAGACTTGAGTTTTCGAATTGGTTTCGTACTCTGTTTTGCTCCGTCTCCCATATGTTTCCATGAGTTGAGATTGGAAAATCGAGGTTTCTGTATCTTTTCTTTGTTCTTTCGTATTGGATTTCCTCTGCAAGTTGTAGCTATAAAATGGATTCCAGTATGTTGAAAAAGATTGGCATTTAAGGTAACATAGACAACCCATTTTGAGTAATCATTCTCGAGAATCGAGTGAGATTAGAACTATGCTATTCAGGTGCAGCAAGCCAATGACAGAAGGTTTTGTGGATTTCAAATATCTTTTGTGTAATTATTCTTTTGTATTGTCATTAACTTAAATGTCTATGCTAGGAAGATAATTCTTTATAGTCTTTTCTCCTTTCTCTATCTAACACAACTGCAGATTTAAATCCACCTTGTTTGCCGTAAAGACCCTTTTTTGGACTTTTAGAGATGTGAAAAATTTGTTTTGCGTCTCAGTGTAAGTGCCATGTGGCAGATGGTTCTACCTTTTCATTTTGTTTTACTTTTTCCAGAAGATAGTATGCTATAGGATAACCAAGCTCTATGCTTAAGAGAATTGTTAGTGGCAATACTAGATTTCAACTCTGAAATTTCTCTCATGGAAATCGATACTTTGCAGTATGATAAGCAATAGACAAGTGCTTCTGCCAGTAGTTTGACTGAAATCTATTAATTGATTCAATGTTGCAGCCTTTTCTTTAGTCTACAACTAACTTTCCAAAACTCATAATTAAAAGTTTGTTTTTTTAATCTCTTTAAACTGTCCTTTACAGGAATTGGGATGCTACTGCCATGTGATCTGAGTCCTCTTATGTATTATCCTTTTTATACTTTCTGTTTTGTTTCTTTGATTTCAGTTGGATAACTTATTCGCCGCTTTCTGTAAATTTTCCCCTCTTTTCTCAATAAAAACATAAAAAAAAAATCTTTAAACTGATCTGTCAGTAGCAATGCTCCAGGTCTGATATGATTTCTCTATTGAATTATTACCATTTCACAAGTATTTTTCATCAGCTACCCGAAGACTTGTCTGGTTCAGATGAAATATTGCAAACTGCAGCATCATTTGTTTTTCAGTCTTTGTTTTAATTTTGTCTCATCTAAAATGCTATATGATGTTAGAACTCTTTACATAATCTACATATAAGCTATAAGATGTTAGAATTCTTCTCAAGCCCTTCTGTTTTAAAAAAAAATCTCTGGAGGCCTCAGTCACTTCCAGAATAGGATGATCGAAAGCCTAATGTTGAAATTGATTATCAGGAGATCTCTATCCTACTATATGAACAAGAATTACATGCATGCCTTCCAAACCACAAACTTGAGCTTGTGAATCTATTTTCTGGATGATTATTGGTTGTTTTACTCATTTCCCACATTAACTTACTTTTGGGGAAGGAATTTGTTTTCTGTGGAAGATACTGCTCTCTTGGTGGTAATCACCTTTGAGGCATGCTCTTTTTCTTTCTTAAGAAAAAGTGCAATACTTGCATGTTATTCACATCCTTAAATAGGATATTTTTTGCATGATCCTTTGTTTTTTGAATTTGTATGACTAGAGTGCAAAATTGGTTGGACAAATTTTCATCAGTGCTTACTGGATCAGGACTAATACCCTAATCCGAGTGTAGAATGTTATCAGGTTTTTCTTTTTAATGGTTCTCACAAGTCAGTGTATCAATTTTGACTTGGATAATGACTGGTGTGGCTCATTTGGTTCAATTCTTGTTATATTCCTGGTTAATTTCTACAGTTTTTTATTAGTATCAATATGTAAACTTGCAACACAATATCTAGTTTGAGGTACAATTCCTGCATTAAATTTTTAAGGTGAGATCTCCAATTCCTGTTTCAAGAAGTGAGAATTGGAAATCTCACTCTCAATGTGTTGAAAGTGGGGGTAGAGTTGTTTCAAACATGATATCATGTTGTAATTCTACATATCAAGACTAATATGGAATTAGTTATTAAGACAATATGAAATGAACCAAACAGAATCTTAGAATCCAGAAAATAGGAAACTAGGAAATACTTTATGTATATATATGAGCTGTGCACATATGTGGAAGTAAGACTGCATGTGATTTAGACATACTTCTGGGAAATAGATGAAACCACCATGATATTTAGATTTTCCCTCCATTTTTTTTTTCACAGGATAAATACTAAGGCCGTGACTTGTATGTTGTGTATTTCACATTGTTCTGATTGATTATGTTAGCCAACAGCCACCTTTCTCTATATGAGCTTAAGCCTTAGTGATTTTATGGGTTAAGAGGCAGAAATTGGAATCGATAATTGACATTGAGCAATTGTCAAAACTCAAGATATTTTTGAACCATTGGAAGTCTAGTGTAAATAAATGCATGTTTCCATTAGCAATGCTATTATGCTGCTGATTGTGGTATTTTTAAGTAAAATTTGAAGGGGAAATTTACAGCAAGAAAAAAAATGAGTTGGGAAACTTGCATGAGTGGTACAAGGTACTTCAAGTTAAGTACAAAGATTGTTCTCCGATGAACCAAGAAAAATGTTATTTTGATTTCATTTGTACCTGTCTGCCTGCTTCATCTGGCCAACTTGAATTACGATTTATCCTCTGTTATCTTGTTGAATGGGATGCTGTAAAGTAATCTTTTGCTATGGCAGGTGGCTGAACGTGCATTGTTTTTGTGGAACAATGATCACATAAGGAACCTGATCACCCAGAACCGGAAAGTGATATTGCCTATAATCTTCCCTGCTTTAGAGAGAAACACACAGGGTCACTGGAACCAGGCTGTTCAGAGTCTGACACTGAATGTGAGGAAGATCTTTTCTGATGCTGATCAAGCACTTTTTGAGGAGTGCTTGCTCAAATTTCAAGAAGACGAAGTCATGGAAAAAGAGTTGCAGGCAAAGCGGGAAGCAACCTGGAAGCGCTTGGAAGATGTGGCAGCCTCTAAAGCTGTCAGCAATGAGGCAGTACTTGTCTCAAGATTTGTATCTTCTGTTGCCATTGCCAGCAGTACGAGTCCGCGAGGTACTACCAGTATTTGAAAAAGGGCAGGTAATGTCAATCAGAAGAATTTACTCTTATCAACCACTGTGGAAGGAATCATGGTGCTGCCAAGCTGATGCCAATGTAAGGATTGTTTAGTCTCACCAGAAGGATTTCTTATAGCTGTAGTATTCTACCTGCAGAACCAACAAAGATAGGGTGGGGAGATTATGTGGATATCGACACTGCACCAGTTTTTTGGGTTCTGGGTTCATTCCTTTTGTTATTTTCACTTTCCTCTTGTTAATCCCTCTTACTGAATGGAAATATAAGTGCGTGTATCATAAGGGATTTGGTTATAGGGGTAGTTCTTCAGATTTGCTACCTGATAATATTTATTTTGTAATGATGCACAGAGGTTCTTCCCTTTTTGCCAAAATGTTGCTGTGTACTTTTCCTTACCGTCTTTGCTGTTATTTTGCAAGTTGCTTACCCAGAATACCTCTCATATTTACCAGTAATTTATCTGCGTAGGTCTCGAATGGATAAACAAGTAACGGAGAAAAAAAGTGAAGGCCAGAAGATTATAAGGATTAAACTGGAGTTGGTATTTTATTTTCTATATATTGATGTCTCATGCAGCTGCAAAAGTGGCCTAGAAGGCAATCCACCTAAATCCTGGTTCTCGTTGGCTCATCCTTTCACCATCTTGTATTAAAAAATATTATTTAAATATTTTGCTATATATGTATTAAGCATGCTATTTTCAGCACTTGGAATCTAAAGGAATTGACTTAAAACAGAATCTTAAAATGGCAAAGAAAATCTATATATTCTGGAAAACAACATTTCACATGGCAGTTAGAAAACACAGGTTTGCGCTTATACATATGGCTGAGATTCAGACATAGCAAGCAAGCAAATATAACACGAAGGAGAAGCCATTGCATGCCAACACAAGTATTGCATAACTATCAGTCATCACCATACGCTCGAAAACTGTATCGCTCTTGATATGGACCATTGAAGAAAAGGTCTGCCTCGAACCACTTTGGGTATCGGACAAGGTCTCCTGCCACAAATTGCATGAACCGCTTGCTCCCTTCTGGAACTACCCTCACCTCTCCTTCCTCAATGTAAACTAACTGATCAACCTGCCAGTCCCATGGCAACTTGCACTTGCCAGTCTTCCACGTCGACCATTTTGAGACACCGAGCTTGGCCAATCTGTCTGGTGACACTTTCCTTTCCACTCTCACATTGTACAGTTCCTCTAGAGGTTTCTCTATCCGCTTTGCGGTTATAAAATTATGTTGCGTAATGGCATTGCTTAACTTGCTAGAATTTTTGCTGCTTTTGTTGACAGAGAAGCAGAAACTTGGAGCCATTGTCATGCTTCCCATGCTTGCATATAATTTCTTGACGCAGTGTTGTCACCTTGATCAAAGTCCCCAAATTCAGGTTTCTTGTCTGTAAGAAAATCAAAAACAGCCGATTTTCTTCCTTTCAGTTGTAGGATTAACACTAATCTTCCCACAGTATAATTATTAATATATATATATATCTATATATAGTATCAAACAATTTTCTATCACCTTGAAGTTTTTGAAAAATCAAATAAACTCTATTATTTCATATTACAATATCATTTCCTACTAGATTAAAGTTTTTTAAGAAAATTGTTTAAACTCTACAATGAGTAGGCCACCTTTGTTCTCTGTTTCTCCCTCTCTACAAAAACAGATGGATGTAAGCAAAATGGAGAACTACAGAAAGACCTCCAATCATCTTGGAAAGACATTCAAGAAATTTCACCCAGGTAACACCACAAAATCTCTTAAAGGGTTATATATATAAATATATATATATATTATATTTGGAGATTCATACAAATATTAGGATTCAAGATTTGGTTTCTAGCATTTTGGAAATGGATTATACGGAGCATGTTTGAGCAACATTACCATATAACTCTACAGAGGTAAGATAAAAAATCAGCAGACTCTCACAGTCCATTACTATATTCCAGCTATTTCAAAGAGGTTTTTTGGGATAGCAAAGAGAAGATTTAGAAAAGAGAGACGAAAAAAAACTAGAGGAAACGACGTAGCAGATCCCTGTACTAGAATGAATGCAGCAAAAACTGACATGGTAATTTAAAGTTGCAAAATCGTCAGATGTTTCACTATTTGACTAGTAAAGGAAGCGGAAAACTCAAATTTTCTTTAAAATTTCATTTAATTTGCCTTTTATCTCTCCATTTTCCCAGCAACCAAATGCAGGATAAAGGTAAACAACTACAACGAAAATAGTATGAACACCAATCATAATAATGGTTGTGAATGACTTACTCGTTGGATTCAGATATCTCGCAGCTTTGAAGGTGAAGGAGCAAGCAAGGCTGGTAATTTCTTCTAAAACCCTAGCTTCAAGGTTTATCTAATCATGTCAGTGAAGGAGCTGTAACATCCCGCCCAAGGCTCTTTCTTACCGAGTACCGGTTCTCTCGGTTACCACTTACCCTTTTTTTAAAAAAAGGAAGCGGACAAGAACCAATGAAGACAAAAGCAGTTTGTAGTCGGGAACGTGTCAAGTTTTCTTACAAGTGATTTTGCGGATAAAGAGCGAAGCCAGCACCGAGAATTTCCAGCTTTATTCTTTTCGCAGTTCATGGTGATGATCCTTCAGCTTCAACGGCTGAATGGGTTGGCGAGATACCCATCAATGGCGCCTCAGATTCCGAAAAATAGGGAGAAAGCTCCCAGGATAGTTTGCTTGCAAACACAAACAGCTCCCTCAAGAACCCAGGTTTAATTTCTGACATTATGTTTGTTTCCATGAACAAGATTTTCCGGGAAAAACCGTCTCAGATGCTTGGTGCAAATCTTATTCTCAAAATTTTCTGATTAGTTCATTATGTGGTAATAGTGTATAACAACCAATCAAATTACTGTAATTTCTATACTTCAATCACTGAATTCAACCAAGATATCTAAATTGCTTTTAATGAATCTGAGATAGCATATAGGAGAATGGAGTGTTAAATTAATTACAATGCAGTAGCTTACTGCAGTGTCAAATTACAATTCTGGTAACAATTTCAATTTGTAGAGGATAATGGAGAGCATTTCAATGAGTGAAGAAGCTGGAGGTGCTGGTGGGGCATACTCATACAATGCCTTGAAGAGACTGGATCGAATTTGGTCTAATATGTGTTCTCCAACAGGTAATATATTTTATTTGTGTTAATTGGTATATTTGTCTGTGAGAAAATTTGGATTAATGGCAAGGAATATTTGGTTCTTTTACTTGTATAGTGAGAAACTTCTGATCAATGTTAAGGAGCATTTGTTTTTTTTTTTTTTACCTTCTTTTCTGCAGCTATGCAAGAGACCCAACAAGTAGTTTCCACTGTTCCTGGCTTGTTTAGCAAGTCTAATATGGCAGACAAAGCAGTGGGAACGTTTGATGTGGTAGTTTGTGGAGGTACTCTGGGAATCTTCATTGCCACAGCCTTGAGTGCCAAAGGTCTTCGAGTCAGCATTGTTGAGAGAAATGCACTGAAAGGGGTAAAATTCTTAATGAAGTTTTCCAGGGAATAATCATCTATCATCACAAGAAATTGTCGGGTCTACGAATTGGGGTTTGATGATACTTTTCTTAATCAATAATTATAGAGGGAACAAGAGTGGAACATCTCAAGGAAGGAGCTCTTAGAGCTTGTAGAAATTGGCATCTTAGTTGAAGATGACATTGAAGAAGCTACTGCTGTGAAATTTAATCCTGTAAGCTTTCAAAACTTCAACTTAAGAAGTTTTTCATAGTAAATTTTTAGGTCCAATGATTGTGAACTCAATGCCAAACAAAATGCTCCATATCTCTTGTTTTATCTTAATTATTCTGTACTATTAAAGAGCTTACATAGAAGCAATTTGTCAATATATTCTGTGGGTAAAATGTCGCTGTGGGCATAATGGTTGCTCCCTCCCGATAATTGGCATGTTTAGATTCACTTGGTAAAATGCATCTAGAATTTTGTTTGAACAATCACAAAACAGCCTGATGCTATTTGGAGATGTTTGGATTCACCACTATATAACAGCACAGCATATACCCATGTTTTGGTGTCTCAAGATGATATTATCTGTTCATTGCTATCTCAAATTTTAACCCAATTGGTATGTCCAGGATTTCTTTTTCCCAGGGCGTGAGTGATGTCACTTTCTTAACTAGCAGATCTGTTTTGTTGTACATATTCAGAAACTATTGCACTTATTGTTTTCCTTGGGTTTTAAAAAAATGTGCAGAATAGATGTGGATTTGAGAACAAGGGCGAGATTTGGGTTGAAGACATTCTTAATCTCGGGGTTTCGTGAGTCATATTCTTCTTCTTTTCTTTCTTCACCATATAATTAGAGTTATCAAAAATATTTTTATATTTCTAGTAACAAATCTCTTTCGGCAAATTCCACACCGAAACATGTAGAAAACTTGTGTATGCATATATGAGAAAAGAACAGTGCGTTAGTTTTAGTTCCAGGCTCTAGCAACTAGTGAAAATAATTCTCTTGCGGTTCTGTGGGCTAATAGGCTGGGTTCGAGCAGCATGGGTGTTACTGAGTCTGGAGAGTAAGGTAAAGAACTTATAGATATCTTATATATGCCTAGGAATCAAACAAGCATAGAATCCTTCCATTAATGCTGTCATATATTCACTTATGTTTAGATTGGAGTTCTTCTGAGAAAAAAAATGGTTTCTCTAGTTATAACATGAATTTATTATATTGGAATACGGTAATTATGTAAACTTTTTTTTTCCAAAGTGGTGATTATGTAAACTTAGGTTGTAACTTACAGGTCCCTGTAAGAAAATTTAGTTCTCTTTGAGCCGTTGACATTTTTAAGATGAGTAACTAGTGGGTGGCTAAAGTGTGTGCATTTCTACCACCTAATAAGGGAGTAGATAATGGGAAACTCATGTTGGTCCTTCAACTGATTAAATCATTCTGGTTTGAATCTTTCTTTATTTCAGGCCAGCAAAGCTTATAGAGATTATGAAGAGACGTTTTCTTTCCCTTGGTGGAGTCATCTTTGATGGTTGCAGTCTATCCAATATTTGTATATATGAGGATGCTGCAGTTAGTACTCTTCTAAATAATAGCATCTCGAATGTAGTTGATACCTCATCTAATGTTGGTGTAATCAAAATTCTTTTCTTTTTCCTAAATTTAATGAATCTCGCAGCTGGTAATTTCCTTAAATCTTGAAAAATAGACCAGATTGAAATGGATCAGAATCAGTAAAAGATTCTTTTCTCATGCTATGTGTGGAGATTTAAAGAAGAAATAATAAATTGAATAGTAATGAACTACTTACTAACGTGGTCACCTCTTACCACTTCTTTTTTAGGTCCTACAACTTGTTGATGGGGGCTTGGTTTCTTCCCGTTTAGTCATTGATGCAATGGGGAACTTTTCCCCTGTTATGAAACAGGTTGGATTGCTTTTATGTTAAGAATGGCATTGCTTATTACTATAATCTTCAAGGTCCAATTCAAGTATTTAAACAAGAATGGTGGCAATTTCAACCAAGAACCCTTTTCAGTGTGTCCATAATTGTTGTAATTACTAACTCTATGTGATTACATACATATACCCTATTATATCATGTCCCGGGAGTGGTCTGGAACTACTATTCATGTGGGATGTTGTGATTCATAGATAAGACATGGAAGGAAGCCAGATGGGGTATGTCTTGTTGTTGGATCTTGTGCTCGTGGATTTAAGCGGAACTCTACTAGTGATGTCATATACAGTAGTTCATCAGTGAAGAAGTTTGGAAGGTCAGAAGCACAATACTTTTGGGAGGTAACACGATTTTCTACAATACTACTATAAGCTAACATCAGTAAGAAATCTTTGCTTTTATTAATGAAGCATATTAAAATATTTCACAGGCATTTCCAGCTGGTTCTGGTCCATCAGATCGAACTACTTATATGTTCACATACATTGATCCTCAACCAGAATCACCAAGACTAGAAGAATTATTGGAAGAGTATTGGAATCTGATGCCTGAATATCAGGTTGCTTTCCAACTAGTTCTGGATTTTGATTGTGCTGGATCTTCTTCATTCTGGAAAACCACCATCATTAAAATCAACATCCATCTTATAGTTATCGCATATCTTAGTCTCCTCTTTTAAATTATGCACAGCAGTCCTGTGAAATTTTCCTCCAGAGGTTTGAACATTCTAAGTATAAATCCTCCATATACATACTTCTTCAGATCATATGCAAATCTTTCAACAAGTGCATTAATTATGATCTTTCACTAGATGACTGCAAGACGTATGACATGATAATAATTGAAGGGAAGACTTTTCATAATGCCCTTTCTGTAATTAGCATTTACCAATGACAACTTGACCAAAATACTGCTGAAACTACTTGCTGAAAAATATGCCAGTCAAGTTGCAAACTCCAAAAATAGTAATATGAATAAACTGATTTATGACAGGTAGACTTTTTGAATTTGCAATGCATGAGCACTGTGTATACGTTTCTGTCTTGGTCTTTGCTACTGAACAAAATGCATTCTGATCAGTGCAACTAAATTTTTTCATCCCATGTTCTTACAAGTCTTTATGACCTCTAGAAATTTGTTATTTCATTTCTTTGATATCCTCTTTTCGGTTCAAGCCATGTTCTGACATTGATCAACCTGTGCCATCTTGTGTGTTTTAGGGAGTCACTCTTGACAGTCTGGAGATTCTTAGAGTTGTATATGGTATTTTTCCTACCTATCGTGACAGGTAATTAGGCATGAACTGCAACATTTCTTTACTTCAGGATGCCTGTCTTTGCATTTTTAACTGAAGTAGCAGGTGGAAGGTTAGATGACTCTGATGTCTGTTATAGGATCAAATGTCTACATGTAGTCTGTATGCTGTAATCTTTTGAAGTCTGGTTCCTTTTATTTTTTTCTTTTTAAGAATGTTAATGAATAGAAAGGAAAGAAAAAAAAAGATGAAATATTGGCCTGGTTATCCATAGCCTTATATTAGTTTAGGACTCGGGATTTTTCACTGTATCTTTAAGGTTCTTAGTTGTTCCCTTTTTTTCAGTTTTAGTGTTCAACAGATGCAATAATGCTCTTACTTATGTAACGCTCTAGGTCAGGTACCACTCTCTCGACAATGTTTTGGATCCAAATTATTAGTTTTGAAAAATTAAAACTCAAATTATTAGTAGTGTATGATTTAAATTCTTATATGAAACTCAACATATCTCTTCGATGTAGTATTAGGATATTACAATTTCCACCTGCTCAAATTCTTATTGCCTTAAAAAACATCACATATCACAAATTATAAATCAACAATACCATTTGCAAACCTCAGATACAAGCATTATTTGTCCAACAATTTTTTGAATCCAAACCACTGATTATCAATTGTTCAAGATTAAGTTATTAGTATTGTGTTATTTGAATTTTTCTATAAAATTCAATAATCACATATTTTTCTGATATAAGATTGAGATATCTTAGTTTTGTAATTTCTTGAGTTCAAAAACTATTATTCTAGCAACTTTCAAATCCAAATCACTGATCTCAAAAACTCAAGCTCAACTCATTGTAATGTGTGATTTGATTTTTTTATATAAATATCTATAATTATAATGTGAGATTGAGATATTATAATTTTTACAACTTAAATCATTGATATCCTTTTCAAGGCTATATAATTTTTTTTTTGAAATAAAAAGTGGAACGAATATATATTAACATGGTACCAAGAAAACATATGGTATCACCTATTACAAAAGTTTTACAATGTAGTTAGTATGTCAATGACATACCCAAAATTCTCATCACTAATTATGTCATGTTCTAATAAAATAGAACCAAAATAATACATCCATCGATTTTTTAATCTATACAAATTACCCTCTTTACCCTCAAAAGCCATAGAATTTCTCTTCTTCCATAGAACCCAAAAAATTGTTAATGAAATCATTTTTGACAGCTTTCTATCAAAGTGCACACCATCCTATGCCTATAATTCCTCCCGTACAGACCCAGCCACTGCCCAATTAATATCAAGTAGATTGTAAATAAGGCTCCATAACTCAAAGGCCACAGGACACCACAATAACACATGATTACATGATTCTTCTGCTTTCATGCATAAATAACATTTGTTTGGAATGCAAAGCCCTTTAACTTTTAATTTGTCAATAGTTAGTATACATTCCCTGCAGGCTTCCCAAGCAAAAAATGTGATTCTTGGTGGGACTTTTGTTTTCCAAATCTGCCTCATGGAAAAATGATGTATCCGTTCAAGATTTTTTCTGGTGATCTAACCATAATATGACTTCATTGAAAAACTACCGTTTTTTTTTTCAATTTCCAAACAATTCTATCATCCACGAGATTTATCTGTTGTGAAGCCAGCAACTGCAATAAGCTTTCATACTCACAGACTTCCCAATCTTACAAATTTCTTGAGACATTTATCCACCAAACCACACTGTCATTATACATTCTATAAGCATCCTGGACCAGCATGTTTTTTGTTTACGCAATAGCATAAATTCTCGGATATTTACTCCTCGATCTCTTATTCTCAATCCAGACATCATTCCAAAAGTTTATTCTGTTACCCTACCAATTTTCCACAATAGATTGTCATGAAAACTAGACCATTGCATCAAGATTTTTTTCCACAAACTTCTACCATGCTATTTCCCAGATCTCTCTTCCTCTTTATTATCCCAATTCAAATCACCCCACCTAATTTCAACTATCCTCCATAATCTTTCATCCTCCATACAAAATCTCCACAACCATTTCACCTGTAGAGCCACACTTAAATCCACTAAGGACCTAATTCCCAAACCCCCATATTTGGGATGCCTTTTAACCTCTTCCTATTTAACTAAATGAAATTTTCGGTTCTCCTCGTCATCACCCCACAAAAACCTATTTTGAATGGTTTCTAATTTTTTAGCAATGTTAACCGGAATGGTAAAAGTAGATAAGTAGTAAATAGGTAAGGTTGGCTATGGTGTTTTTTATCAGAGTGAGCCTACCTTCTTTGGATAAAAAATTCCTCTTCCAACTAGCAAGTTTCCTTTCAAATAATTCAACCACTAACTTCTAAATAGATTTATCTTTATACTTGGTACCCAAAGGCATCCCTAAATATTTAATCGGCAAAGACACCTCCTTGCATTCCATCACATCTGCACCTATTCTGACCAGCTCCATCTTTTGCAGATTTATCTTTAATCCCGAGGCACCTTGAAAATATAACAAAAGGTATCTTAAATGTTGTAAATTCTTTATTTCAGAGTGACAAAATATTAGAGTATCGTCTGCAAAAAATAGGTGAGAAATCTCAATATTCAAACTGTCTCTTCTCACACCAAACCCTTGAATTAATTTTAGATCTTTCGCCCTGTTCAACAATCCGTTAAGGGCTTCCATGGCCAAAATGAACAACAGCGGTGATAGGGGATCACCCTGTCTCAAACCCCGTGATACATTAAAAAAGTTTGACGGTCCTCCATTAATAAGGACCGCAAATGATGTTGTAGTTATACAAGTGTGTATCCATAACCTCTATTTGTGGCCAAAACCCATCCTACACAACATATAATCCACAAACGTCAATCACAATTAAGAGGTTCACAAGGTTGCAAAATTACTTTAGTTTAGAGTCGCTAAGTTAGTACGTCATTTGATATTATTTGTAATACCTTGGACCCAAGAACCAGTAGTCCAACAACTTACGAATTTAGACCACCAGTTCTCCAACTTATTTATAGGGTGATGTGAGAATTTATATAGAGCTCAACAATTACATATCCTTTAAATAGAGGATTGTGATATCATAACTATGTAATGCTGAGGTAGAAACAAAAAAAAAAATTACTTACACAACAACTTTCAGATCCAAAATACTGACCATCAAAAGTCCAACTCAAGTTATAGGGTGTGACTTGAGCATTTATATATAACTTAACAATCACATATTTTCTAGGCATAGGATTGAGGTGTTATAATTTTGTAATGCTCAAGATCCAAAAATTACTTGCCCAATAACTTTCACATCTAGACCATTGACGTTTATGGTGCCTCAAACCCAAATGTTACTGGCTCAATAATGCATTCAATCTAAAATATTAATTCTTAAAAGTTCAAGTTCAAATTATTAATGGTGTGTGATTTGAACTCTTAATTAAAACTCCATAATCATGTATCTTCTTGATGTGAGAGTGAAATATTATAATCTCTATTGCTCAATTCTTTGATGCCCTAATTATGGTGACATATCACAATCATATATCATGATCCAATGGGCTATAAAGGGCTACAAGTCCAAAACTGCACCAGCTTGAATTCCTTGAATTAGCACAAGCTCTTATACCATTAATTACACCTCGAGTTCAAGAAAATGTTTGGACTCAAATCATTGCTCATCAAAAGTTCAAAGTCAAGTTATTGGTAGTAACTGCACCAACTTAGATTCATCAAGTTGGTGCATATTTTAATAGCCGAAAAACCATTGACTTAACAATTTTTATCCCTTAAAAGCTAAAATTGCAGTTATTCATAGTATGTGACTTAAGTTTTTATACGGAGTTGAACAATTATATTTTTAGATATGTGATTGGAAAATCGCAATTACTAGCTTTTGATACTTTTGAGACGTTGAAGCCACAATTATATATCTTACCTTCCATCATTGCACCGGTAATGTGGAATCTGGGATGTTACAAAGTTTTCCTTCCCATTTAGAAATTCATACTAGGCTATCCTCTTGTATATTGTATTTTAACCGTCATACGAATCGCATCCTCACGATCTCAAACAACTAGAATCAAACACGAAGTCATATCCAACACAAATCAAATTCATAGATTCAACATGATAAGCTCATTACTCAAAAGTGTTAGTTATTGGTGCTTTTGAAGTCTTTGGATCACAAATATTTGCCATAATTTTTCTCATAACAATACTGTTGTAAGATTAAGGTGTTACAAACTTTTCCTTTTGAATGGATTGCCACAAGTCCACGCTAGATTCAGCCCATTTCTTAAAAGTGCTAGCTATTGGCACTTTTGATATACTTGGGTTCACAAATCATATTACACTTTCTCCCATAGCACTGCTGATGATGGATGTTAGTTGTTAGAAATTCTTCTTGGTAAATGGATTATGTCCTTGCAATCCTGGAAAGCATTATCAATTCAAAATCAGATCCAATTAAATAGAGCCCGTACATCCAACATGGTAATAGATTTGAGGTCGGCTTTCGTAATATCTGTAAAACAACAAGCCCGCCATAGTTTTGACTTACTGACTGTTTTGAGGTATCTAGGCCACAAATAAATACTACACGAAGTATCTAGGCACGAATAAATACTACACTTCCCCCAATAGCTATTGTTACAACTAGTCTTTCTAAATTCAATATGATTAGCACTTATTTTTCAAAATCTAACGTGATGAAATTCTTTAATGGGGAGAATCGACTAGACAGTCCATTGCCAGCAGCATTTGATCGTGTTTTACAGGTGTTTACATCTCCCTCTCATTTTGCCTCCAATAACTTAGGGCAATAGTATGCAAATGTTACAAAATATTCTTTGCTCTCTGTAGTTTGGTGATGCCAGTGGCATTCAATCACCTGTTTCATTTGGTGGCTTCGGGAGCTTGACTAGGCACCTTGCTAGACTATCAGCTGGTATATTCTCGGTGAACTACTTACTGCATTTATGTTCCTTCACTCATTTATAGAGCCACTAGATTATTTAATAGTTCCTTTATTTTGAAAATAGACCTGTTCATTAAAATACTTAGACAAACATAAGTTGAGCCCATATGTAATATCTGAAAAACTGCTGATTGTCATCTTCGTTTGCCCAAATATAACAGGAATATACGAAGCAATCAGTGGAGACTTCCTTGACTCGTACAGCTTATCCTTGCTGAACCCATACATGGTTAGTGATTTAACTGAATGGTTATGTACCTTCCCCTTGTTGGATTCTGAAATGAAATTCATTCGGAGCAGCCCAACTTGAGTGCTTCATGGCTATTTCAAAGAGCAATGTCAGCAAAAAAAGAATCCAACGTTTCGCCAGATTTTATTAATGAGCTTCTTCATGCCAACTTCCAGAGTATGCAGGTGGCCACCACTGTGTTGCTACTCTGACAGAAACAAGTTCTTTTCAGTTTGCTTTTCTCTTTTTCTCTTTCTTATTAATGTACTTGCTTCTTATTACTGAATGAACTTGTGTTTTTGTAGCGTTTAGGGGATCCAGTTCTAAAACCATTTCTTCAGGTAATATATTTTTTTATTTTTCTCCTTTTTTTCACTCTTTTTTTATTAAAATTTTCAAAATGGAAATATGGAGCTAATTGTCTCTGCTTTTCTTTTTATGAAAGGATGTCATCAAGTTTGGGCCGCTTACGAAGACATTAGGCCTTGTCATGCTAACCAAACCACAAATACTTCCTTCAATATTCAAGCAGGTGACAAATAAATTAGCTCCATGTTTGTCTCTGAACTATAGGGCATTTACCATAAACAGTGTAATAATGACTACTTATGCAATCCAATCCTTTTTATTGTTCTTCAGGTTGGTATTCCTGTTCTTCTTGACTGGTCTGGACACTTTTTCATGCTGGGTTACTATACGTTTCTCTCAACCTTCATGGATCCTGTAATAAGGTAAATTCTTTCCTAATGATTATACAACCATTCCTTGAAATGCTTTCTTTGTCACATTGCTTTTTATGGGTTTTTTTTTTTTCACGACATGCTTCATGGATATGTCTTTTGAAGGCCATTGTTAAACGTATTCCCATCAAAGATGAAGTATGAATGGAAGCGTCACCTTGAGGCTTGGAAATATGGATCTGGTTTGGATTACAAGTTATGATGTGTTATCTGCAGAAAATTGATGGTGTGCATGTATGAAGGAAATGGAATGGTATTCAATTCTTGTTTACCTTTCAATATTATCTACCTCTGATTTCTATGGCCGGATCTTAAACGTGCGTAGACATTTAGCATTGTGCCATATGTAAGCCTGTATGTAGATGTTCTTTTGGTAATACAAATGCATTTTCACGATCAGTGTTACATGTATATGCTACTTTCAATAAATATAAATCCTGATGTCATATTAAAAAAATTGAAAGCAGGCATTAGAATTTTGATTATTTTTAGTTGATTTTCAGTTTCATAAGGACGCCAAACGAAGTTTTTTGTTACCACCTACGATTTTGTTATGATGTCATTATTGAAAGTGAAAGCAACCATTTTTTGGTTGATTAGACTAACATGAACTTCCAAGTTCAAAACAATGAGACCTGAAAAAAGCTTTCTGCACTATATGTAACTCGAAATAGAATTCATGTCCCCTTACATATAGTCTATTTGTCAAATAATCAACTGCTCTACATTATTCAATTCCATAATTCCCCTTTCACTTTCCAAGCTTTCTAGGCTACAAACCATCAATACAACCACCCAACAATATTTACATACAAAAGCAAAACTACATGAATTCTCATTTCAGCTGGATGTTTTTGCACCTAAAATCCTAGACAACTCCTTTATGAGAGGCTTCTCCTTGATATCTTCCTCCCTGTTCAGATGCCATTTCTCTGATGTCTTCTCAGCCTGACATCAGAAGCTCTTGGTTACAACAAGAAATAATCAAGTTACAGCCTTTCTTCTTGTTCAAACCTTAAAAACAACATACCCAAGATTTTAAGGGAGATAGTTGCTCCCTAATCATCCCAAGTTTGGGCTGAACCAAGTCCCTTCCTTTAGCTTGAATATCATCATTCTGTTCAATAAAACATGACAACTTCAGGTCAAGATGCTATCTAGTTATGTTCTACAAATTGTATTCGAGTGACTGATCAGCAAGTGAAACATTAATCGTAAACCATGAAGAGAATCAAATTATTAGTTCAGAAAACAGAAGGGGATAGAAAATGTGCCAATAAATTTACGGTTATACCGAGTGAAATATTGAGGTTGAGCACAATAATAACATGCTTACATTGTGGATATCTAGTTTAGAGACTGCCATCCCAAATATCAAAGTGGCTCCACCAAACATAATTACAGTAGCCACTGCAAATGCTTTTCCAACTGTAAAAAGCAGAAAAGAAAAACACTTTTTCAGTTTATGAAAACAATCAAGAAAATGTGACACGGGCATGTATGGATACTGAAAATGAAACCTATAAGTTTGCTTCTTATATTTTTCTGTATTAATTAATTTCTTGAAGAAACAGACAGGAAAATATTATGCCAAAACACATTGACAAGAAGGACATGACGAAGAATAACTATGTTCAAAAAGGAATGCATGATCCAGAAGAAACCAAACAGAGCCTACTTTGTTGGAGTCCTTCAGCAGCGGCCTTCAATTTCTCAGGATTCAAAGGAGTATATTTATCTTTCCGCAATTCATTAGCCGTCGATGCTATGACTGAATTCTCTTGATTGGGCAATGCCCACCTGCAAAATCAATTCAAAGCCAAACAGAACAATCAAAATTCAAGTCCCCGAAAAAACCCTCCACTCGTAGATTCCAAAAGGAAAAAGAAAATTCAAAAATTCCCCAACTGGTAATTAAACAAAATAGGAGACAAAGAGGGACCACCTTTTGGGGCCAAAGGTGACCTGTGGCAAAGACAGATAAGCTCTGAGAGGATTCATGGCATCGGGTGAGACAGTGGAGGTAGCTTTAGTGTCGGAGGGAAGAACCCATTTGGAGGCTGTAGAGAGAGAAGATGGGTCGGGCGGGCGCCCGAAGATCTTGGAAGGCAGAGAATGCCTCAGCACCTCCGGAAGCACGTCTGCTTGAGCGTCGTGCTCACCTGCTGCTGAGGGTGAAGACGAAGGCAGCTTGGTGGTGGATTTCTCCGCCAGGCGGTTAACGGCGTGTTTGGATTCCTGGAAAAAGTAGGCCGCTTCTTTTCCTGCTAGCCTTCCTGCAAGAAAACTCATTTCTCGGTTTAGTTATCGCTGGTATTAGGCTCCGACGAAGTTGAACGTGGCTGGAAACTTTCGATTTATTGGATTATATATAGCGTCAGCTTCAGAGCGGGTGTTATTTATTTAATCTTGCTATTTTTTTTATTTTCAAGTAAATTACATTTTACTCTCAATATTTATTAAAAGCTTTAAAGTCTTCAGCGAGGTTGGGGAGAAATTAATAAAAAATAATAATTGATTAAGATAAATTAATTGATGTGTGTTTAAAAATAAAATAATCAAAAATTTAATGAGAACAAATTAATTAAGACTAAATTAATTAATAGAATTTATTCCAGAACAAATTAATTAGATACATATTAAAAGTGAATTCAATAAAACATAATTTGAAATTCATATTGGTGAAAATCAATTAAGGAGAAAAGTAATTTTCTTAATTAATTAGTAAGGAATATTTTAAATAAATTATCAAGCATTTTTTTTTATTAGTTTAAATTTTTAAAATAATTGATTCAATAAACTTTTTAATCAATTAAGGAGAAAATAATTTTACCTAAAATTTAATACACTTATTTATGATACATACTGAACTGAATTTATACGTTAAAGAACAGTGTTAGAATATAATATAAATAATTAGTTAAATTATTTTCGAGATTATCAGTTTAATTATTTTTTTAATAAAAATTTATTAGATTTATTTTCAAATTATTACAAATTCTGACTTATGGTGTAATTCATTAATAATGTAACGAAACTACGAAGGAGATGGGTTGGTCAATCCTAATGTCATATAAACTATTTAATAATCCATTTTCAAAAAAAGGATAATGTATAATATATTATAATTATATTTCTTGGACAACATTTTCTCTCTTTGCTTGGGGAGGAAGGCTTTGGCATTTGCCTCGAGCCAAAGAAAGAACAAGAAATATTATTTTAAACGTAAATATATCAAGTAAAAATATATGTATAAATGTATATATTGATGTAGATTAAAAAAATTAAGGATGAATTAATATAGTAAGGTAATTGCGTTTTAAACCAAAGTGTATCCGAGTTTATCAATTTTATATAAAAAAAAAAATTAAGTACATTAATCTTTATGTTTTGAACAAACATTAAAATTTTAATTCAGTATGTGTTAAATAATTGTTAGAATAAAAAAAATTAATTATTTTTTTTTTCAATAAGCCACTGAAAAAAGAATTCATATGAAAAGAAAACACATTAAATGTTGAAGAAAATTATAAAAAAAAAAAAAAATCTTGACAAAAATTAGAGAAATGAATCAAAGAATTGCTGTAGTGTAAATTTATTCTAAACTATCTGATTAATTTTAGTTAAAACTATTTTTATTTTTTCAGAAAAAATTTATTATGTATTCTCTTGAAAAATAATTTCTATTTTAACAATGATCTTAATATTTATAATTAATTGTTTGACTAACACTGAATAAAAAACTTAAATTTATAATTTTTGTTCTAAAAATCTAAAAACTTTGATATAAATTTAACCAAAATTCCAATAGGGTTAACATATGTGAGTGTTCCGTAAATATTACTAATTTTGTTTGTAAATAATTATTATAAATATTTTTTTAGGTATAGAATTAGTCAGTTTAAACTTATTCTTGTGACAAGCAAACGCTTGAATGACGTAGATACAATTTTCATTAAATAATAAACTAACGGTAGTAGCTACGTTTGCAACAAATATATATTTTTTTATTGACACGATATAATCGATATAATAAATAAGATATCCTAACAATAAAGCTTATTGATACACTACGATCAATGCAATAAGTACAAATTTTAACATTCTCCTTCAAACTTAAGGTGATTAAATATTGGTTAGCTAAAATTTGTAAACTAGATCATAAAATTGACCAGGTTGGATGAGTCTTCATAAAGATACATATTATTTAATTTGCAAATGAAATAGGAATGAGTCCAATGCCACTTTTAAGGACATGATGATAAATAAAATAATAATTATTTTCAATGTACTAAGTGCTTTCATGATCTTGTTATAGGTAATTTATATAACATTCAATTATCATAATAAAAAAATATAGCTAAAGAATGTGAAAATCTCATATCTTAATACAACCAAAGAAGTTCAGATACAGTGTTGGCAATGATTCGATATTCAAATTCAATACTAGAGCGAGATATAGGATCACCAAGAAATTAATGAATTACCAAGGATATGATAGTTTCACATTCAGATTCAGTATCAACGATGTGCTTAACACTTTTTTTTATTTTAAAAATAAGTGAATTATCAAAAGATAAATAATAACCAGTAGTAAAACATTATTTGTAGGATCGCCCATTCAATCAACATCACAACAAGCTTGCAACTCAATGGACAAATATCTATAAAACTGAAGGTCATGATACATTGTCTTTTTTATATAGAAGATGATATGTAGAATAATAGCAGAATCAGTTGTATGGGAAACACTCACAAACTAACTAATAATGTGGACTACATGGTCGATGTCTTGTCGAGTGACAATAAGATAGATAAGATTCTCAACTAAGTGACAATAGAAAGTGTCATCACTAAAAATAATAAATTAATAGTTGAAAATATAAACTCGATGAAAGTGTGTATTATTTTAGAATCTATAAAACCTACACGAAAAATAAAATTATTAACATATTTGGTTTAAGACAAATAATTCATAAACTGATCAAATGAAATCTCAAGTCCCAAAAAGAAATTGAGAAATCCAAAATTATTCATGTTAAATTATTGATTAAAGAAAGATTTAAGATTAACAATATCATATAAGTCGTCTCCAGTAACGATCGTGTTATCTACATAAAGAAAAAATTAAGTACATATTATAATAGTTTTCAAAACAAATAATATATAGTCATAATAACTATATTGAAATCTAAATTTTGAAATAATATACCCAAACATAGCAAAAAATATTTTTTGAGCTTCTTTGAGGTTATAAAAAGTCTTTCATAGGTGATGAATTTTATTAGTTGGACGATCACAACTAGGGAAAGGTGTCATATACACCTCTTTGAATAATTCCTAATTAAGAAATATGTTTTTAACATCCATATAAAATAACTATCTATTTTTTAATAACAAAAATAGTAATAAAATTTTGAATAGAGGTGAGACAAGCTATTGGAACAAAAGTTTATTCATAATCAGTGCCACATTCCTAGCAAAGCCTTTTGCAACGAGGCAAACTCTATACAATTCTATAAAATTATTTATACGAATCTTAATTTTATAAATATATTTACATCCAACAACAGACTTGTTATAAAGTAAGTCAAACCAAATTTAGATGTGCATGCTAGTGGGAGCTTGAAATTATGTCATAGTCTTCTGTTAAAGAGATTAAAATTAGTCTCGCTAAGTATGTGGTTAATAAATAATAATGGAGTTACAAACATAATCACGAAGAATAACTAAAGGTTGATTTGCACGAGGTAGAGGAGGATGAATGAATGGGGAGAAAGAAAGCGGAGGAACACATTCTACAGTTAAAAAAGATTCATCACGAAAGGCACTGAAATGAATGAAAATAAAAATAAAACTTCACAATATAAAATTAGAATATAATTAAAAATATTTTATGTTTATAAAAATTAACATGACAAAAAATTCAAAAATGTTTAGTAAGAAAAATCTATTAGTATATTATCGTATATCACAAAATAGTATAGTATTGACTCTTAATTTAATATTAAGTCAAAAAAGATGAAGAAGAAAAAAAATTGGTATGTGTCTATTCATAACTCTAACATGATATTTATTTCTAGTTGAATTAGGCAACTAGCTAATTATAGAATACATTACGGGGTTGTTAATACATAAGTGTATAAGATAATAAAATTAATTAATATAATAAATACGATATTATAGTAATAAAACTAATTAATACAATAAAGAAGATATTCCAACATTACGTACACATCAAATTACTCGAAAACTTTTTTTTTTTTTTTAATTTGGCGCTCTACCCTTCTCTCTCTCTCTCTTGCCCGACATTTTTGTTCTAATTTGAACTCCATTTATAATTTATATATTTAAATAAATAAATAAAATAAATCTTAACGACGATAGTCAAATCCAAATGGATAGCCAACGTGATAGGTAACATAATGACTTCCATTTATTTAATCAAACGAAACAAGCGCGTGAAAGCTACTTCCCCAAGTGAAAGAAGGGACACTAACACCGTCATCGTTCTGTCAGGTTTCCACGTGTCTTTACTGGAGCGTGGCCTTGCAACATCAAGTTGGAAGGTTGAAATTTTCCTTTCAACCCTCTAATAATAATTTCCACGACTATCTCCTCTTCCGTTTTTACACGCGCAACATGTACACACTATGTACACCAACACAAAAAGTGCAGCGAGTAAAACCAGTACTCTCCACTTCACACACACACCCCCACCCACCCGCACAAATTAAAATTTTAATTAATTTAAATTATTTATTAAATTTGATCATAATAATAATAAATTTTATTTATGGTTTAAGAAAATAATTATTTATAGGAATTTATATATATTTTTTCTCTTTTTTTTAATTAAACAATTTATTTTTATTTTTATTTCGTTGAGTTTCGACAGTAAAACGTTCCGTAATGGGCAGATCGGTGGGGTCCACAGGGCCAGCAACATAACATTCCAGTGGTGCTTCTCCTGGCCGTTCTTAATTGCACGGTTGTTGCGTGAAATTATGTGCAATAAACACTACTCCATTAAAACTTGGGGGGGGGCATGGGTGGGGGTACGAGTTTTTAAAGCTGTGGAGTACTACAAACTCATGTGAAATTACTAATTTCTCCTCTGCACACACGTGTCAGTTCACCAGCTACATCAATCTCTATCAACTGAAAATTTAAAACTGGGTCGTTTTGATGGAAATTAATTTGCAATTGTTGCAGACTGCCTGCTGCCCTGATGAAAATCTGAATGTTTTTCTGTTTGATGGGTATATTTCCTTATATTCCAATTTCTGATCATCAAAATGTCAAACAAGATATAATGTTTTATCCATAATATAGCCGCAATTCTTTTTTGGTGCACTTCCCAAGAAAAAAAATATGTAAATACATATATATATATA